GGGAGCGCCGCCGCACTTCCCAAGCGGTGCACTATCCAGTGCGCCACCGGGCCGGCCCTAACTGAGAGGTTTTTCTAAGTCTTGCTCCCTTGACAGCAGTGATGATGTCAGAAAATTTTTAAAGCTGAATTAAAAGTCAAGCTGTGACTTTTTAGAGAGAGGTTAATAAACCAAAAGTACTATCAAGTTCTAAACAAGCCAAAATGATATAGAATATACAGTTAAAAATATATATATATATACAGCCTTTTAATGGAACTAACCAATAGGGTTCTATCTGCACTGTGTGGGCCAGACCGTTGACTTAGAGGAGCTTTTCTCTGCATGGTCACTTAATTTTAAAACGTGCCGAGATGTGTTTGAACTCATGAGAATTTTCAGTCTCCAGAAAAATCAAAGGTAGTAATAATTTTTTAAAAAGCGGTAGGGTTGGGAAGTAAAATAAATTGGTTTTGTACCATTATGGTATCAAGTTCAAGAACATAGGATTCTGTGTGAACTGAAATTCTGAACACTGTATGGACTGAGCATACCAGATCTTTAATATTGTAGATAACAAGAGCGGTAGACGGCTGTGTGTCATTCTGATATTATAAGTCTCTAGCGCACTCGCATCTTAGATGGATTTATCTGCTGCACTAGAATCATATTATGAATTTTGTCAAATCAACTTTAAAATACAGTAAACTTATTTTCAGTAATGAAACATTCAGCACTTCTGCTCTCATTCCTTTCAGGCCGGGGACGGGGCATTGCCTCACGAATTCATGGAAGGTGTGGAGGGAGTTGCAGGTGGTTTTATTTATACTATTCAGGGTAAGTTGGCTAGTCGAAAGGCGTGCTGAATTCATACTCCTAATCTTTATACTTTGACATAAAAGGTGATGTTTTTGTCATTAAAAAAAAAACTTTATTGAAATAAAATTCACATACTGGCACCATTTGTTGGAAATCAGTGACTGTAAACGTAAGGATTTATTTCTGGACTCTCAGTTCTATTCCATTGGTCTATCTGGCTATCCTTATGCCAGTCAGTACTGCATTGTCTTGATTACATAGCTTTGTAATAAGATTTGAAATTGGGAAGTGTGAATCCTTCAGCCTTGTTCTTTTTCAAGCTTGTTTTTACTATTCTGGGTCTCTTGCATTTTCATATGAATTTTAGGATCAGCCTGTCAATTTCTGCAGAAAAAACCAGTTGGGAATTTTAAAGGGATTACTTACATTCAATCTGGGGAATATTGCCATGCTAACAGTATTAAGTCTCCAATCCATGACCTGGGATGTCTCTATTTATTTAGGTCTTACTGAATTTCTGTCAGTGATGTTTGGTGGTTTTCATTATACATGTCTTACACTTCTTTTGTTAAATGTATTCTTAGATATTTATTGTTTTTGATGCTATTATTGTAACTGGAATTGTTTTTTAAATTTTATTTCCAGATTGTTCATTGCTACTATATAGAAATACGATTGATTTTTGTATATTGATCTTGTATGCTGCAACCTTGCTGAACTCATTTTTTAGTTAATAGTTTTGTAAGTGCCTTAAGATTTTCTGTATGTAAAATCATGTCAGCTATGAATAGAGATAGTTTTGCTGCTTCCTTTCCAATCTGGATGCCTTTCATTTCTTTTTCTTTTTGTGCTGGCTAGAATGTACAGGGTAGTGTTGAATAGAAGTGGCGAGAGTGACCTATTAATTTATACTCTTTTTTGAGATAGATACTGTATTAGTCCCTGTTTGTGTTGCTATAATAGAATACCTGAAATGGGTGATTTATAAAGAAAACAAAATTTAGTGCTTACAGTTTCTGAGGCTGGGAAGTCCAAAGTCCATCTGGTGGTGGTGACAGTGACCCAGGGGTCTTACATTGCAAGATGGTGGAAGCAGTGAGAGACGGTTCCTCGTGTACTGTCCTTTTGAAGCCCTCAGAACCACGCCCATGACCACCATTTTTAGTCCATTCCCGACTGCACGATCCTACAATCCAATCACCTCTTCAAGGCTCTACTGCTTGGCCACCACAGTAGGATTTCCCACCCTCTTAACAGTCACAGTGGGGACTAAGTTTCTAATACATAAAGCTTGGCACAGTTCAAGCTCCAGTGAGTTCTGGGGGGACATAATTCAACCCACTATGGATGCGGTATAAGATACAATTCGTAATTTATTAGTCTGAAAGGCTTATATTTAATTTTTGCTCTCATCTGTTACGAACCATTTTCCTGTTGCTGTAATTTTATAACACTTTCAATTTTCTTCAAGTGTTAAATAGTGTGTATCTATCCTTACCCTTAACGTGAGAGGATGTTACAATAGAATGTAAGAGTCAAAGGGGACCGTAGGTCATTTAGGCCTGTGTTTCTCAAAGGGTGATCTGGGGTTGTCTGCAGTCCACTTGCATCAGTCACAGAGGTGTCGCTTAAAAACACAGATTCCCATACCAGCCAGCTACACACACACACACGCACGCACAAAAACAAATTCCTGGGCCCCACCCTAGGCCTACTGAATCTTTAGACCCAGGGCCCAGGAATCTGTATTTCGGGTAGCATTTCTAAGAACCACTGGTTTAGTCCAGCTCCTCCTTTCACAGATGAGAATGCTGCAGCCCAGAGATGCTATTACTTGTCCGGTATCTCAAAGATAATGGCAGAGGCAGAAGTCAAATATAGGTCTTCAGGCCCACCCCCATCCTTTCCACTGCAGTGACAAGGGTAGGCCATTAAATTACTTTTTCATTTCCTTTCCCCAGCCTTCAGCAGCTCACTTTTTTTATTTTTCAGAAAGTTTCTTCAATTCGATTGAGACATTTGAAAAAATCCTGACTTACCCTGCCCTAGTGACAGAACTGCTGCCTTAAATCCATAGGATCTGGGGACAGTCCCTGCACACGTGTGAGAAGTGACTCATTAACTTGTGAGGTGGCAAATACAATGTCTTTCAAGCATATTAGTGATTACTTTTATTATGAAATATCATAAATACTCCAAAAATAGAGAGTACTATAAGAAACACCCAGGAACCCCTTACTCAGAATTAACAAATGTTTACATTTTGTCATATTTTCTTCCTTTTTTTTTTTTTCTTAGAAATAGAACATTACATCTCAGATGCAAGGTCCCACAATCAATTGGCTGAGGTTTACCCTCCTCACCAGTTTCTTAAAATTGTCTTACCCCAAGTTATTCACTCTGATGGAGAGAAGTTTTGATTATCTTCCGTTTTTTGTACTATGCATCATTTTTTTTTTCTTTCATGAACATGAATATTTGAGAACTACAAACCCAGCTTTGTCTCCTCCCATCTAAGGCTCTGCTTTCACAAGGTTTCTTTGCTGAGCCCTGAGATCTGATAATCTTAAAAAAGAGAGTTGGCATAAAAAAAAAAAAAAAAGAAATAGAACATCACAGGTACAGTTGAAACCCTGTCCCTTGCAGTTCTCCCTAGCCCATTTCACTCAGGGGACGCCACTGTCCTAAAGTTAGTGTGTATTCTTCCCACTCTTTCTTTTCTGCTGTCTACCACGTATTTACATATCACATAATTGATATCTTTGGCTTCATATTGTGTATATCGTTTAGTAATTTTCACTCAACATTATTTTTTAGTGCCATTCCTTTTGACGTGCAAAATCAGGTTAATTTTTTTAACTGCTGTATTTCATTATGTGAATACGTCACATTTGAGCTATTTTTCTCTATCAGTGGACAATTAGGTTGGTTCCATTTTTTTTTTTTTTTCACTATTACAGACAACACTGCAATGAGTATCCTTATGACCATGTAAAATACTGTTTCTAGGGATGGAGATTCCTGCAGGTGGACATAGCTGAGCCAGGTGTGCACATCTGCAGCCTAACTAGATGTTGCCTAATTGCTCTCCAAAGTGGGTGTGTCTGTTTCTCTGGCCTTAGCTATGTGTGAGAGTTCCCGTTCCCTGCTAGAGTTCCTAACTTATTTCTGTTAGGTTACCTGGGAAAGGAATTTAGTGTACATCATATTAAAAGTTGTGGGTCTTCAGTTTACAATAGCGTCTTTCTCTGACTCTCAGTCTTTCCTTTTTAGAAGGCGATACTCTCTTACACAACCTTCATTCTCGCCCTCGAAGACTTATTGATCATATCAGTAATCTCCGTGAGGAAGATGCCCTCCTGAGGGAGGAGAGCAGCATCTATGACGACATTGTCTTTGTGGATGTGGTTGACACTTATCGAAATGTTCCTGCAAAATTATTGAACTTCTACAGATGGTAGGTTGTCAAAGGGTTGGGCGGCTGGAACTTGTGCTGTTCCTTTGATGTAGAAACAATTTCCCAACTTCAAACTGAGATTTAAAGAAACAAAAACATACCTAGGACTGCTGAACTCCTTGTGAAGACCGATCTAAGATGCTGCCACTTTCTCACTCAGTCAGCAGGTCACCGTGTGAATGACACTAACGTGTCAAAAGCAAACAAGGTGGAACCAGACTCACCTGGAGTCATTCCCACTGGCCTTGGCTGTCTTAGGGC